GTTGAAAAAAGCTGTTTTGGACATAACAATTCTAGTATGGGAATTTTTGTTTTGTTCATTTATGTGATTTACTTTAGAATTAGATCTAAAAAACAGATCAAAATCAGAAGTGGAGATAGATTTTTACCCTTGTTTTTATTAGCATTTATTGTTTCTTAATTACACAAAGTGCAAGTAGTAACAACATTGCAACCTTGGAGGTGGGAGAAAGGAAGTAAGGAAAGGGGAGCTGGCAAGAGCAACACACTAATAGGTGCTTTCAACAAGTAACGCTGCAATCTCACAGAAGATCAAACGCTTACAAGCATCCTCTCAACGTTAAGACAGTAAAAATCGAAACATATACACCTTACGGCTCACGACTATTTCATTACAGGCACCATTGCAGGGTACAGAGAGGAATCAACAGCATAAGTAATGTTACTGTTGGTCCATTTTTAAAAGTTCACAATGCCCTTGCTCATTTCTAGAAAAAATTACTAACATGGGCCTGACACAGTGCAACGTAAAATTGTTTACACAGGACACCATAAAAACAGATGTTTGAAAACAACTGAAAGCCTCATCTATGTAACTTCTCTATGCAAAAACTTAAAAGTTTATTTTAATATGCTTTTGATTTTCAGCTGAAGACATGAGGAGTAAGTAACCATCAAGATACAGTTTTTTTCAAATGCCAATGATTTTAGCCATTGCAGCTTCATGAAGTTTTAAACTGTGGGCAAGTAGTTATCAACTCCCATTTCTACTGCTCTGTGAAAAGCTCCCACATCAGTACCTAGAAACTGCACATATGCAGAACATTACCAAATACACCCGGAAAAATCCTCGAGCTGTAGGTGGGGAGTGAACTGTTTCCAGCAAGGGCTGGTGTCCCTCCTTCCTTCACACTAATTCTTTCTAAAGAACGAAGGAGCTTGAATGCAACACAAGTTATTGCTATGCAAAGGGACTGAGGCTCTCGGAAAACCCAGCAGTTTGACCTGCTTCCCCAGAGAAGCTCCAATTCAGAACTGACCTTTCTAAAAAAAACCTGATGTCACTGAACAGCAGGGTGTGCATCAGTGTTAGCCTGATATTTTACATTCCATCTTCAAAGTTTCACACTTTTCAGTAATTACACGAAAGTTGCTGGCACACCCATCCCTTCTACATTGTCTTGTATAGAATCACTGGATGTTTTAGGTTGGAAGGGACCTTAAAGATCATCCAGTCCAACCCCCTGCCGTGGGCAGGGACACCTCCCACCACACCAGGTTGCCCAAAGCCCTGTCCAACTTGGCCTTGAACACCTCCAGGGAGGGGGCATCCACAACTTCCCTGGGTAACCTGTGCCAGTGTCTCACCACCCTCACTGTAAAGGTCTCCCCAATATCTAGTCTAAATCTACCCCCTTCCAGTTTAAAGCTATCATATCTCATTCTATCACTGCACCCCCTGATAAAGACTCCCTTTCCATCTTTCCTGTAGGCCCCCTTTAAATATTGGAAGTCTCTCCAGAGCCTTCTCTTCCATAAGCTAAACAACCCAAACTCTCTCAGTTGGTCTTCATAGGAGAGGTGCTCCAGCCCTCTGATCATCTTTGTGGGCCCTCCTCTCAGCTTGCTCCAACAGCTCAATGTCCTTCTTGTGCTGGGTGCCCCAGAGCTGGATGCAGTACTCCAGGTGGGGTCTCACGAGAGCAGAGCAAAGGGGCAGAATCACCTCCCTCGCCCTGCTGGCCACACTTCTGTTGACAGCCCAGGATGCCGTTGGCCTTCTGGGCTGCAAGCGCACAGTGCCAGCTCATGTTGAGTTTTTCCTCGACCAACATCCCCCACAAATCCTTCTTCTCAGGGCTGCTGTCAATCCATTCTCCACCCAGCCTGTATTTGTGCTTGGGATTGCCTCTGTCCAGGTGCAGGACCTTGGACCTGGTCTCATTGAACTTCAGGAGGTTTGCACTACCCCACCTCTCCAGCCTGTCCAGGTCCCCCTGGATGGGCATCCCTCCCCCTCCAGCATGTCAACTGCACCACCCAGCTTGGTGTCATCCGCAAACTTGCTGAGGGTGCACTCAGTCCCACTGTCCATGTTGCCGACAAAGATGTTAAACACTCAGAGAATATAAATAAACATGAACTTTGTGCTCGGAGAGTGTATGAGACAACACAGTTCAACTTTACCTTGAAAAAGAACGTAAGTTGCCAACCTGTTTCTTTATTCAAGGACAAGAGTTTCACAAACAGTTTTGACTATGATTCATAAGGGATGATTCAACATTAATTCTCTATATTACCAAATAATTAGTCAATCAATACAGGGACTTCAATAAAACCTCCTAGAGTACTTTTCAAATAAAACATTTGCGCAAGTTGTTTGACAAACTCGTACCATTTCTTCATTAAAGAGCCATCCTTATCTGAAAGACCAGTCATAAAATTAACAGTTGAAAATGGTTCAGATCACATCTACTCCAACTTGCAAGACAGGCAGTTAAAAGATGTATCTTCACTGCTTGGCATGAGATGGAATATCTTACTGTGACCACTTGATGGTGGTTATACATTAAGTAATTGGTAAAAGTTTTATTTTTATTTATGCATCTCTCTACATATCTACATACAGGTATCTCAACAGAATTTTGGATGTTTGTATTCTAGTGGTGATTAAATTTAAGTTTCTTAACAAACCATGCCCTAAAAGAATGCCTTAGCTAATTGGCTTGAGGTATTCTTTACAGGAAAAAAGTAATTGCAGATTCACTGTTGCTGCCTTTTTCATAAAAATTGGCAGTATTTTGTAATGCTAGCACAAGTATTTCTAAATTAAGGTTTCCACAACAGAAGATACACTTCACTTTGAAAAGCTGTGCCACACCAGTAATAAAAAAAAATCCTTTTGAAAAAACTGTTAGCAGTATGACTAACAGCAGTCACACTCCACCCAACACATCCACCCTTCCTAAATTCAAATACTCCAGATGACAAGCAACCTTTCCATACTACTTGCCAGCAGTTGTTTCGGTTTAGCTGCCTTCCTACAATTAAAAAAGCATCTCTGAGATTCAACTTAAGAGACGTAAAAAAGCTACAGGCAGTTACTACAGTATTAGCAAAGAAGAAATAATCATTGAAAGGAGGAGGAGTCAAAACCACTTTGTGGCTCAGCTCTAGGAAACCTGCCTTTTGTAGTGTCTGCACATTGTGAGCTCCAACCTCTTGGATGCTGACTCATGGATCAAAGGAGTCGTGGATGGAGGAGGAAAGGAAGAGAAGCAGAACAGAATGTAATTGCACATGGCTCTCAAAGGAAGAGGGAAAATCCGGAGGCTTGCAGTACAGCTGACATCTCCTCCTACCAAAGGCAGGCACGACTTTGCCAGCAGGGCAGAACAGAAAAGCATGCACAGCTGTAGGTTTCGGTCTTCACTACTTCCTGCTGTCTTCCAGGACAGGCAGGAAGGAGGGAGTTGCCAATCAGGCCATTTCTGAGAATAGAGAAAGACTAGAACGCAGGGAAAAATCTGGCTAGCACAGGAAAAGCTTGCTCTCCCTACATCAGAGGTTTGTGTTAGCAAGGCTACCAGACTACCTGCTGTCCACCATTTGATGTGACTGAAATAATTTCAGTATAGTCACTGCCTGAAATGACTCGCTACCTTTATCAGAGGCATTCAAGCTCCTTGTGGAAGCACGAGCTCCTTGCCAAGATGGCACAGCAACCAGTATGAGATTTTGTGCATAACCTTCTCTTAGGAACTGGATTTGGCAGAACGACACGGGGAGATTAAGAAGTCTGAAGAGCAAGCCTTATGTTGATGCCCCAGCAAGTCAGTTCTGGAGTGGGGTACTGAGGAGAGGACATCAAGAAGAATGACAACAGCACAAATGCTGGCAGCCCATCACACAGGTTCTAGTGAAACTCTTGTCACAGGAAACAGGAACAGTCACATCATTTTCACAAAGGTGAAAGTTTTACAACTGAACTATGCCTGTAACTGTAGAAACAGCTTCTTTGGAAGACAGACTTCTGAACGTGTTAAGGAATTAACTCAACTGATTAATTATGCTAATAAATTTCCAATTTGTACTCAAGCAGAGGTAACTCATTTTGACAGACCACTGAAGATTATCTGCCAGGCAATTACTACTGCGTTACACACATGCAGCTTCCTGCAGCCACAACTCTGCAGAACAGGGTCCAGCAGCCTACGCGCCGCTGACGCGCGTCTCTTCAGCTCCCACTACAGCGCCGTATGGTTTCACTATCGACAGCATCTGGAATTCTGCTGCTTGTTCAGAAATGTATTCCTTGGCTTCGATGCATGCTTGGGGATTCATGCCAGCGTTCACACCTTAGCTTTACATTATTCTTGTAAATTCATCTTAAAGATACCCCTGAGAAGTCAGTTTGGATCCAACAAAGCCAATTTCTATGTCTTTATTTCCTGTCTTCAACACAGATGTCTTACTATATAGAATCATATTTTATATTTCAAAAAATCCTCAAAATGTCTCTTAAAGACCCCTTGAGAGTATTTTTCTTTATGAGAAGTAAATGAAATGCACACCCAGATACTTTATAGACACTTTTAACAGACTGTTAGCACTGATACGAAGAAATAAAGGGTTTTTCTCATTTTCTTTTCAGCCTGTCTCAAGAACTGATAAACTTAGTAACCACAGCACATTCACAAGGCTAAATTCTCTGCAATTACCTTGTGTGATACTGCATATGGATCATTCTATCCAAAAACATACACTCAAAATTTAGTGTGTATTTGAAGTATCTCAAATACCTCTATACATATGGGGCCTATAGCATAATGAAGATGATCTTCTTCCTCACAGTAGCCCACATAACGGTTGCAGAACTTACTGCACTGACTTCCCCAACCCCAGCATAATACTTAACGTGATATTCCCTAGTCTTATTCCCCAGTACAGCAACACACATAAATACATTTTTCTCCTCTTAAAAAAACAGAAGGAAAAAAAAAAAAGAAAATCCCCACTCACCAGCACAGTGGTGCAGATGGACCTGAGCTCAGACTCCACCTTCTCCCGATAGTCCTTGATGAGCTGCATCTTCTTGTCACTGGTGTCTGTCTTCTGCTCAATGCTAGAGATGACCCTCCAGGCAGAGCGCCGCCCCCCCACTACGTTCTTGTAGGCCACTGAGAGCAGGTTGCGCTCCTCGTTGGACAGCTCAGCACCTTGCTCAGTTACTGCCTTCATGCAGGTGGCCATATCGTCGTAGCGCTCAGCTTGCTCAGCCAGCTTGGCTTTCTGGATCAACTCGGTCTTATCCATGGTGGCTGGCAGTGGGGCAAGAGCAGTATAGTAGGAAAAGCAGGAGAAGCTGGGGATGTCACACTATCAACACGAGAATGCACCTCAAAACCTGTCAGAAAGAAGACAGTAACCATGATGCTAGGACAAAACACTGCAGAACATGACCTTATGCCACCCCTTGCAACCCACCAAAAACCAAGGACCACAGAGAGCTTCGCCTTCCCTTCCCCATCTCCAGGTGCTTCATGTGGAGACAGACTGCAGCATCCCACCCTTCCACACAGGGCTAAGGCAAGAGGCACTGTGTCGAGGGTTCACCCCTAGGGAGACCACGACCTAGAAACCCAACTGGGGAAGGCACACTTGGCGCTAGCCAAGCAACGGCAGCTTGCAGACCAAGTGCTGGAAATAGCTATTTTTCCATCAGAGCGGACTTTCCATCCTCACCCTGCTTTTCTTCCTTGCCTTACGTGAACGTATTAACGTGTTGTCTAACAGGCACCTGGAGAACGATACCTCTTTACCACCAAGCCTAGCGGGCTTTGCTCAAAGCCCTTCAACCATGTGCCACAAACCCCACAGGCGAGAGCTGAAGAAAGGCGGATACTAAAGCCGGGGCAAAGGAAAAAAAAATAAAGGAGCGAGCCGAGCTCGT